CCCAATAGCTTTTCTTTTGCATGTAATTACTTGGCCTCGTCGCCTGCACGTTTCTCGACTCCACATGTAAAAACCCCTATTACCACCGGTCCCATATTATAGGTGGCTGGCGTCTGTTTACTTCAGGCGGGGTACGTATCCCCATCTGATCACATAAAGTGTCTACAACGACTGCTTCTCAACTCTCTGAGCTGAAGCCATTGTAGATAATGCACCAGTCCGTCTACAACAGACGACCCATCCCTGAACAATGAAACACAAAACTGAAGCAATCATGCCGGGCTAAAACCCATTTAAATAAGTATAATAGGTATTTTGTGTATGCCACAGATGCTTGGGGTCCCTCTCCCGATTCTTACCAAAATGGGACCACCACTCAATTCCTACATGAATTGACAGCCAAGCATACGTCACAGGAAATCCCACAGAGGGGCACTGCATTAAAGAACTTCGGAACAGATGATATAAACCAGTTGTTAGATGTGTTTCTTCCTCCCCTCAAAAACAATTCCTAGCTGTGTGAAATCAACGAATTTCCGACTTGCTTCGATTGGTCTTCAGTTGTTAATGCAACAAAGGCTTTTTTTACTTTCCGCCGAAATGATTAACTTGGGATGCTCTTGCTGTTCTATAGTGTTTCTTCTCGGCGACCGATAGGCAGCACTGGCATAATTTAAGCTCTTTCGGCATAAAGCCCTGCCCCGAAACGACTTAAAATTATTTTTATTTGTAACCGAGGCGTGGTTCATTGTGGGCTCCTGTGAAAATCGGTCACACTAAAGATCTGTTCCTATTGTTTCGCAACTGTAACAGCCCTATAAAGTGCATATTAAAGTCTCTAGCAGAATAGAACAGGCAATGTACACTTCACTGTCCAATGTAGTGGAGGGAACCTGTTGACATCGACTGCTGTCAAGCTCGATTGAAGCTGCGGGCTCAGTATCTAACATATATTTGCAACCAAGCTAAGGTCCTTTGAATTAATAACTTCCCCCTCTCACTATAGGTGCTATGGTACGTGAGGGCAGTAAGTAGAGTCTTCGAGAAACGTGAAAAAACAGTGCTGCTATTGCTTTTATATATATATATATATGCTCAATGGGTTTGTTACCCTGCTACGAATATAAAGAAATAGGGAGGAAAATAAAAGCAGACTAAACTGATCATTATCCTGTCAACACGGTCGCCACAATGTTAGAAGATAATTTGAGCAGCCTTTCCGTTTGAGGTCGATTCTGATGTAAGAAAAAATTAGTAACGGCCTCAGGCAGCTTTATATATGTATACTATACAGGCAGAATGCTATTACCGACAAAGACAAGGGAGACTGCAATGGCCATTTCTGGCTTATTAGCCGTCGTTAGCCAGCCATATCCAAGCCCGAAGTGTGGAACACCCGAGCCTCGAACTCGCGACCTGTTGGTTTAGAAGTCCACGCCTCTACCCACCGGGCCACGATCCCGTTGCCCTGTCGGTTTTCGATCGGGAATATACAATGGTAGGGGGCGCTCACCGATCGTTCAAACGGAACTCACTCGTTCCGTTGTGCCTTAAGGGCTCTCTCTCGAGCCCAACCAGCAGCCACACAGCGGCGCATGATATATAGGCAGAATGCTATTACCGACAAAGACAAGGGAGACTGGAATGGCAATTTCTGGCTTATTAGACGTCGAGGCTCGGGTGTTCCGCACTTCGGGCTTGGGTATGGCTGGCTGACGACGGCTAATAAGCCAGAAATGGCCATTCCAGTTTCCCTTGTCTTTGTCGGTAATAGCATTCTGCCTACATATCATGCGCCGCTGTGCGGCTGCTGGTTGGGCTCGAGAGAGAGCCCTTAAGGCACAACGGAACGAGTGAGTTCCGTATGAACGATCGGTGAGCGCCCCCTACCAATGTGTACTATGCGTATGTACTGGAAGATGGGCATCCCAAGAAACATAATGCTAAGAAAAAAGGAGTCCTTTAGGAACTTCAACAACCTTTATTTCGTAAATTTTCGTATCTGGTTTCCCAGGTCGTTGTCGAACATGTAGCATGTGTGAAAAAAAGTTAAAATGTAAACATGCTCGAAAAATCGATATTGCTTTGTTAGTGGTGAGGATGGGTCAATGCCGTGGGCCGACGTCACGTTTTTATTGGCTATTACCTTTTCCATTTTTCTTTGAGATTTGTGTACATGGTGTCAAGATCGATGCGCCGATTGATGCATGAATCGCCGGAGTGAATGGTCTCGAGGAATTCTCCGCCTTTTTTATATGGGCAGGAACCGACAATGCGTTTGTGCCCAGTTTCAAGAGTATGCATGGCGACTTGAGATAAGTGGTCCCGCCTCCTTACTGATAAGTGGTGCTTATGTAGGCGTGTGGAGGTGGATTTTCAGGCTTAACCAAAATATACCGCATTACAAGTGCTGCGTGGAATCTTACAAACTACTTCATTTTATCCAAATAGTCAACCCTATCCTTAGCGTGTACAAGCTAATTGCGTAGTGTAACGGTCGGTTTGTGGGCCATTGGTATTTGGTGCTTCCTCGGGTGTCTTTCAACGAGTTCAAACACATTTTTAATGTAAGGAAGCGTTCAGAAATATTTCGCTTTTGGCGCCTGATCGGGACAATCAAGCTCTTTATTCCTTTTTTGTGATTCCTGTTATTTCATGCATTGGCGTACAAAATCTCTAGGGTAGCCGTTTTGGGAAAATAGATTGAAAAAATAATTTAATTCTATTTTATACCCTTCAGTACGCATAAAGTACGGAACAGTGACATCGTTCCTTGTAATTGGGTGTTCGCTATAAAGGCAAAGGAAAGGGAATAAATAGCAAGGAAATGTGAAAACTTCATACTGGAAGCAGTGAGAACACCACCAAGCTAACTCATGAAATGTTTACCGAAATTTCCAAAATGCGTTTTTGTTTCGGAAAGATTAATTTAATACGGTTGTAAAACGAATCATTGTGCAGCATAATTCTATTATAATTCGGTTACCTCAGGATCTCTGCTTTCGAAAAGACGTCTTTCCAGCTGCATGCAAAAACTATATTCCGTAAAAAATGACGACTTAGGTAGCATGCATTTTTCTCATTTATTTTCGATGAACTTAAAAATTCATTTATATTTCATGGAAAACATGCATAAAAATATTCATTCTTTTGCTCATTCGGCAGAAAATGACGTATGCTTCCAATTTTATACTTGAAGGAAGGGTATAATTCGGTTTTTAAAAAGTTTCTAATTGTGAGATTTTTTAATACCGTGAAATGGCCCTGCATAGAACGTCACATCGCTGCATTTACCAGTGTGGCTTGTAAAGTTAATGGCTCAAACCCACTGCTTAATTTTTTGAACCCCATACGGTCTCCTTTTAATACCGTAGAGAAATGTATGGTTTTCCGTACGCGGAAATTATACGGCTTGTAGTTTGGGAACTCGGGCTGCAGGTGTAACAGCAGGTCGGGGTTCAAAATTATTTGGGAATTGGAAGAGTTTTTAAAAAATTAACTATACGCCTTCTTCAGGTATAATGCTGGAAGAAAACGTAATTCACTATTGAATGAGTAAAAGAATAAATATTTTTATGCCTGTTCTCCACGAAATTTAATTGAATTTTAAGGGCATTGCAAATCAATGAGAAAAATGCATGCTACTTAAGTATTCATCTTTTACAGAGCACAGTTTGTGCATGAAGCCGGAAAGAAGTTTGTTCGAAAGCTGGGATCCTGAGTCAACTGAATTATTATGTAATTATGCCGCATGGTGATTAGTTTTACAACCCTACTTAATTAATATTTTCGAACTGAAAACACATTTCGGAGTTTCTGTTGACATTTCATGAGTAAGCCCACCTACTGTACATGCAAATCTGTATACAGCTAAGGTGCAGGGGTGTCAGCGGTGGGTTCACGTGATGGTCGTAGTGGCCGCTCATTGGCTTGCAGGTGAGACTGCGCCCAGCGTCCATTTACTGGCACCCAACTCTCCCCTGTGGCCCCACGTAGCTGAGCTCTGCTCAGCGGCCACACCCCGGGTACCCGCCTCCACCGGCGGGCTAAACCAGGTGAGAGCGGTTACTCCCGGTGCGCGTTGTGTCACGTGCACAGAGTACTGTGGACTCCGCTGGACGGTTGGTCGGATGGAACACCGTGTCGGCACCGTCGTGAAGAGGCTCCGTCTGGTACGCCGCTGGTCAGCCGGTGGGATGGATCTTCAAATCGGCATCGCCGACACGCGCCCATCTGGTGCACCGTAGGAGACCGCGAGCTTCCGACGATGTCGTAAGCCATTGGCTAATTCGAGTCGTTCTTCCACCGCCAAGAAAATCTCGTGGACCACAGTGAAGTTCGGCCGCGCCGGCACATCAAGCAGCCCTATTCAGGGACCGGGCACTGCTTCTCTTCGGAGGGGGCCTGGAAAAGCTGGCCTAAAATTGCTGGGGAACCACGTCGTCTGCAGGCTGACCGTGGTCACAGACGTAAAACTCACGGTCGAAACAACCAAAATCGGAATGACAACAACAACAACACTACTCGCTCTCCTCATCCTACCTCTTCTTCCTCTTCCTCTACCTATTCTTCTCCTTCGCCATCTTCTTCACCTCCTTCCCGCCGTCCAATCGACGTCAGACTAGCAGGATGACTCCGCACACTCTGGCAGCCAGGAATGATCGATCCCTTTTAGACAATCCGAGGTCCAACCGACCGCAACGGAGGAGGGCGCTAGTGGCACGAGAACTGGCGCGCTAGAATGTGGAAATTGCCGCACTCAGCGAGACTCGATTCTCCGAACAAGGCCAACTGGAGGAAGTGGGTGCCGGTTACACCTTCTTCTGGAGTGGTCACCCCAGGGCAGAGCGACGAGACGCGGGCGTCGCCTTCGCCATTCGGAACGATAACGTGGGACGACTGCTCTATTTGCCGCAGGGCATCAACGATCGCCTGATGAGCCTCCGCCTGCCTCTCTGGGGAGGCAAATTCGCCACCATCATCAGCACCACGCTCCGACGATGACCAGCCCCGATGACGCAAGGGACAAATTCTACGAGAACCTGCACGTCCTCTTGGCGACTGTGCCGAAGACGGACACGTTGATTGTCCTTGGTGACTTCAAAGTCCGCGTCGGCACAGACCATGCTGCCTGGAGAGGAGTGCTGGATCCCCACGGTCTCCGCGGCTCAAACGACAATGGCTTGCTGCTCCTCCGCACCTGCGCAGAACACCGCCTCATCATGACGAACACGTTCTTCTGTCTGCCGGAGCTAGAGAAGGCCACCTGGCGGCATCCTCGGTCGCGTCAGTGGCACCTGCTGGACTACGTCCTCGTCCGGAGGCGAGATCAGCGGGACGTGCTGGTGACGAAGGCGATCGCGGGAGCTGATGGGTGGACCGACCATCGCCTCGTCACCTCGAAGATGCGTATTCGCCTACAGCCTCGCAAGAGACCACAAGGTAAGCGACCCACAGGTAAGCTGAATATTGCCTTGTTGTCTTTGCCCGCTCACCATCTCCATTTCAGCAATGAGCTAGCTCAGCGGCTAGACAGCCTTCCTATCGCTGCCGCCGCCGACGCCGCCGCTGCCGAGAACGCCTCCGTGGAGAACCGCTGGTGTCAAATGCGAGACACGGTCCAGTCGACGGCGCTAGCCGTCCTCGGTCGCGCACGCCGCCAACACCAGGACTGGTTTGACGACAACGACGCCGCCATCAGAAATCTGCTCGCCGAGAAGAACCGCCTAAACAAAGCCTACGCAGACCACCCCACTGACGACAACAAAACTGCTTTCTACCGCAGTCGCCGCCACCTTCAGCAACGACTGCGCCAGATGCAGGACGCCTGGACTGCTCGCAAAGCTGAGGAGATCCAAGGGTACGCGGACCGCAACGAATGGAAGAACTTCTTCTCTGCGATCAAAGCTGTCTACGGTCCGCCGACGAAGGGCACTGCTCCTCTCCTCAGCGCCGACGGCAACACTCTCCTGACTGAGAAGACGCAAATCCTGCAGCGATGGGCCGAGCATTTTCGAGGCGTCCTCAACCGCCCTTCCGCCATCTCCGACGCCGCCATCGCCCGTTTCCCGCAAGCGGAGACCAACATGGGCCTCGACCTCCCGCCATCTCTCCAGGAAACCATCAGGGCCGTGCAGCAGCTCTCCAGCGGGAAAGCACCCAGATCGGACGCCATCCCTGCTGAGGTCTACAAGCATGGAGGTCCCCAACTAATGCATCACCTCACTGCGCTCTTCCAAGAGACGTGGCGTCAAGGTGAAGCCCCGCATGATTTCAAAGACGCAACCATAGTGCATCTCTAAAAGCGAAACGGGAACCGCAAAGTCTGCGACAACCACCGTGGCATCTCCTTGCTAAACACTGCTCCGAAGATCTTCGCTCGCATCCTCTTCAATCGTCTGAATAATCATCTGGAACCGGGCCTTCTGCCGGAAAGCCAATGCGGCTTCCGTTGTCATCGCGGGACCATGGATATGATCTTCGCTGCTCGTCAACTTCAGGAGAAGTGCCAGGCGATGCGGACCCACCTGTACTTTACCTTCGTGGACCTGACGAAAGCCTTCGAAACGGTGAATCGTGACGGACTGTGGAAGATCATGCAAACAATTCGGCTGTCCAGAGCAATTCATTCAGATGGTGCGTCAGCTGCACGACGGTATGATGGCGCAAGTCACGGACAACAGAGCTGTCTCAGAGGCCTTCTCAGTGACCAACGGAGTGAAGCAGGGATGCGTGCTGGCGCCTACCCTCTTCAGTCTTATGTTCTCTGTCATGCTGATGGACGCCTACCCTGATAAACGTCCCGTGATCCGTATCGCCTACAAGACGGACGACCGCCTTCTGAATCAACGGCGGATGCACTGCCAATTGCGCGTCTCCAAAACCACCGTTCACGAACTTCTCTACATTGACGACTGCGCCCTGAACGCCACCCCGGAAGAGGAGATGCGACGGAGCATGGACCTCTTCCTTGCCGCCTGCGAGAACTTCGGTCTAGTCATCAACACGCAGAAGACGGTGGTGATGCATCAACCGCCACCCAACTCAGCCACTCCTCCAAACGCGCCGCCGGCGCAAATCAGTGTAAACGGAACCCAACTGCAAGTGGTGGAGAACTTCCCGTACCTGGGCAGCACCCTCTCCCTTAACACCAAAATCGATGACGAAGTCGCCAACAGGATCTCGAAAGCCAGTCAAGCCTTCTACCGCCTCCAAAGCACAGTTTGGAATCGTCACGGTCTACAACTAAGCACGAAGCTGAAGATGTACATGGCCGTCATCCTGCCGACGCTGCTGTACGGAGCGGAGACTTGGACAGTGTACACAAAGCAGGCACGTCGACTGAACCACTTTCACCTCAGTTGTCTCCGTCGCATCCTGAGGCTGAACTCACAGGGCCGAATCCCCGACACTGATGTGCTGGAACGAACGGGAATCCTCAGCATCTACACCATGCTGAGACAAATGCAGCTGCGCTGGAGCGGCCACTTGGTGCGCATGGACGACGAGCGACTACCCAAACGACTCTTCTATGGAGACGTCGCGACGGGCTCTCGCCGTCAAGGAGGCCAAATTCGCCGATACAAGGATACTCTGAAATCCTACCTGAAGCATCTGCAATCAACCCGACCAACTGGGAAGAGCTCACTCTCGACCGACCGACCGGAAGGAGGACAGTGAAGACAGGTATTGCGATCTATGAGGCCAACCGATTCGCCGCTGCCAAAGTGAAACGCTAAGCACGCATATCATAGCTACGTCCCGTCCGCAACGCCTACTTACAACCGCTTCAAAGTGTCTTCGGTGTCAACGGACATTCCGGGCACGAATTGGACTCATTGGACACCTTTGGACCAACTGCACCTCACATACCGCACTAACCGCCGTCCCTCCGCCCGCCTCTTCTTCGTCCCCTCCGCTGCCAACTAACTCTGACAATTCTTCTGAACCACCACTTCCATCCTCCTCCTCTTCCTCCCCCTCCTCCTCTTCCTCCAGCTCATCCTCTTCCTACCCTACTGCACCAACCACGGCCGCTCTGTTGGCCGCCACTCACACCAGCATCACACACATCCATGACACAACAACAGACACCATCCCTCCAACCTGCGACTCCAGGGGTAAGGACCAGGACTACATCTGCCCTTTACTGCGACCGCACCTTCACTTCCCACATTGGCCTGGTCGGTCACTTGCGAATCCATCGCACAGAGACTGGTAAACCAGTGCCAGGAGCATCACCCTACACCCACCGCACTCGCCTCCACTGCCCACGCTGCCCTCGCACCTTTACGCATCGCATGGGCCTTTTCGGCAACATGCACATCCACGAGAGCGGAATTGACCGCCCTCCTGACTCACCCACCACGCCAAGCCCCATCCCCACTTCATCACCCTTTGCGCCCATCACCGTTATCGCAACTGACACCGACACTACTGACTTCACCTACCCACACTGTCCACGCACATTCACCCCTTGCATCGGCCTGGTCGTTCACTTGCGCTTTCGTCGCACGGAGACTGGCGAACCAGTGCCTGGAGCACCAACCTATACCCACCAAGGTCATCTCCACTGCCCACACTGCCCTAGCATTTTCACGCAACGCATGAGCCTATTTGGCCACATGCGTATCCACGACGACCTGCGGTAGACAACCGCCGGCTACACCACCACCACCACCACCACCATCACCGCCGCTGTCGCCGCCGCCGCTGTCGCCGCCGCCGCCGCCGCCGCCGCCGCCACCACCATCAACACTCACCCACCGCAAGCACCCAACCGCCACCTCCCACGCAAGTGGGAAGGGGGCATCTCGACTCGGTCCCCATGCGCTTCGGCTGCACGGGTGACTTGAGTCTGAGACTATCCCGACACGTCAAGCGTCGTGGATAGGAAGGTTGCTGATTGACGCCCCCACTCGGTCCACGCAGTTCGTCCCGTTGTGTGTGCGTGTGTGTGTGTTGTGTGGATTGGCGGACTGGTGGGCTGAGGACGGGCTGAAACAGCACCTACCACGGCCCTCTCACGCAAGTGAGAGACACTCCGTTCAACCCCGTTGTGTGAAATCCTGGTGTTTGTGTGTATGGGGGCCAGGTCGTGCATGTGGTGCGCGCAGTCATGGGCAGTCGACCATGCCAGCCACCGCGCCCATTCCCCACTCCAGTCTGCTGACCGGCTCGGACAGCGGCTGGGGTGTGGGAATGGGAAGGGAGAGTGAGGTCGACGACTCAGCGCACTTCCTCCTAACTATAAACAATCTGACGCGCTTGAAGCTATCACGGTGCACTGAAAGCCGTGGCTTGGAAGGTTGCAATTGACGGGATAACTTGGACCTCCTCCTTGAGTGGTGGTGGTGGTCTGAGAGTCAGGCTGCAATGGCTCCTTCTTAATGTGCCCTTTATGGCACTCCCACTGTGTGGGATCCGAGCCAGGCGTCGACGGCACGCATAGGTGCGTCTTCGGCCGTACCAGCCTCCAATCTCTGTTGTGTTGGTTGAAATCCTGGTTATTTGTTGTGTGGACCAGGGGATGTGGTGGAACGCCAAGGTGAGGAGCCATCCGAGCCATCCACCTGCGGCCTCCCTCCTCTCCGGTCTTCTTGACTCTGTCTTGACACCGGACTCGGGCGAGGGAGGAGAGAGTGTAGGTAGATGCAGAGCAAGTCTATAGGCACTATAAACTCCTGCGCAAGTCGCCGTCCCTGCTACCACCGCTGCTGCAGCTGTGGGGCACACGGTGGACATCATCGAAATCGATGGTCGAACTATCATCATATACAATGAAGACGAGTCCTTCATCAAACTAAATCCAGGTCCACGAATCTGCTAATTACGCATGCCAGCGTAGGAAACACTGAACTGTCCTGTTATCGTCATGGTCTTAAATTTCAAGATTCCATCTGGAACAACCTTAGCCTATAAATATTACATTCTGACGAAGACCGAACATTATCTCGACTTAAGTGCTCATGTGTTACTGAAAACTTTGCCCTATTTAGCCAGACCAACTATCAAAAATAAAGGACATTTGTAGGCAGGTCAGGAATTGGTTGGCTATTATTAACAATATGATAGCTTCACCAACGGCATTTCATCAAATTTCAAGAAGGGCTCCGATAAGCACCAGAACGAGCTCCTGGCAGTAACGGTTTGAGATAGAAATAAATGTTGAATTGTGTGGAAAAAGGGAACTTCTAAATATTTTTCAATGACAGGAACTTGTAAAATTGAAGATGAGAACATAAAATGTTCTCTAATAGAAAATGTTAATATTTGAATGAATGGGATACAGCGTTATTTTTTGCTAACCTAGCGTTGTCCGGCCTGGTGGTGTTCACACTGCTTCCTGTATGAATTTTTCAAATTCCCTTGCTACTTACTCCCTTTCCTTTGCCTTCCTAGCGAATACCCAACTGCAAGCAACGATGTCACTGTTCCGTACTTTATGCGGAATTCGTTCCATCCCATCACATCGGAGAATGCTCTTGTTGTCTGGATGACTTTCAAAAAAACCAACAGCTATGCGCCCGCGATATGCCTCGCAAACCAAAAGTCGGTTTTTATTGTAAGTACAAAATGTGAAAAAGAAGTATTGACGTGCTAATATGTTTTTGCGGTTTCTCTGAGGCAGTGTTCTCGTAATTTCAATGCTGTTTTCGGCTCCATAGATGCAAAACTTTGCAATCTTTACGATACAAATTTACTTAAATGTGTTTTCTTTACTGATTTGGCTTAAATATATCCTTTCAGGAAGTGCAGTTCCGTATGCCGAGGAAGGCATATACTTTACTTCAAGAGTTTTTGTTTGGTTGCCCACTGACATCCCCTAATCAATTTGATATGGGGACAGGAAGCAACAGAGAAGTTGCGTTTTATCCTTGTTAAAATCACTTGCGATAACTATTAAAATGCATTATGTTTTCTGCTGTTTCTGAGCAGATTTGTGGCGGCATATTAATTATTTCTAATCACCTCAGTTCTCGGGCTTAGTTATAGAGGCATTCGAAAAGCTAGGCCAATAGTAATTAAAAATCATTAGGTGCTGCAAAAGGCAAAGTGTATTTATAAAACGACGGAAGCGTAGAAGCTCATTCCTATTTATTTTCGGGTACATCGTGTTCTGTTTTTTGTGTGGCCGAAGATTTTACCTCCACTTCTGAGCAAAACTAACATAATTCTTTGCAAGCCGCAGCAAAATGCTTTATTTTCTCATTATATGTTAATCTACAATGAGCACTTTAAAGTTTATTTCGCACCGTTACGTTACGCGCTAAATAAAACTGCAGATACCGTTGCTGACGTTTGATGGCTATATATTGCTAATAAAAACAATAGTCATTTTAAGTCGCAATCCTGCAGTCACAGATGTATGCTGCATAGCTTTCCCAGGCAGTCTCGATAGCTGTTAGCATCCATTTCAATTCACACGAGGTTGTCCGGACCCTTGAGACGCTTTAATCACACAGTCAACGTCTGTTTATTTCTTTTTATCTCAGCACAGGCGAAACGCCCATGTGTCGGCCCTCTTTGGTCCCTGAGCCATGGAGCAGTCTTTAAACCAGATTACAGAACCAGATGCAGATGTGATGACGGAAGCTTCATTTGTGCAAATCTCTGTGCTGGGTCTTTTGATCCACAATGTCTAGGCAGTCCATTAGATAAGCAAAACCGACATTCAAAAACGGGACCAGCATTGAAGAGCGCCGTATCGGTTAGGAAAAGGCGCGCTGTGGCACAGATCGGCCATTTCAAAGGTATGTTCAAATCTATCTTGCACGGTTGCCCTCCGCCACATAATTGGTTAGTTTTAGAGTTGTGTTGCGTCTAAAATTTCGCCTGAAGTCTCGAATTTTGCTAGCCGAAGCGGGATTTGGGAAATCGAAATCTCTGCACACCCGATGTTCTGCCTTCGTTCGAGCTCAAAAATGAATTTGGTATTGTTACAAACAATGGTTATTTAGGAAAATTAAGCACCTAGTCAAAAAAGACAATTTCAGCATATGTGAATTATTTTGACTCGGAGAAAAAGGTGCACAAGCCAATGCACACGTGTGTTTAGGAAA